CTCAAAGGAATTTTTACTTTTATACCATTGAACTTGAGATGGGAGTGATCTTGCCAGTTCCTGAGATAAAAAGATCAGGCCATTTTTTCTATGATCTCTGAGTATTTAGCATTTCTTAAGTGGCTATAATCTAACAATTATATCTTCTTTAGCCACAGTTTTACTTGCCTTTTTCTGGCCAAACTGCAAGTTTTCAAATCTTTCATGTCTGTTTTCTATTTCTGACTATCATAGTAAACTTGGCTATAAGCTGCCAGCAATATAGGTACCACCCCCTGAATGCTGTGTTACTGCGAAATTCCCTCCACCAGATTAATTAGCCATCACCTTCAAATTCAACCTCACAGAAAATCTCAGGACATGGACAAAATGCAGACAGATTCTTTGTCAGAACATAACACAAATGGCCTCTAATTCAATTTCCAAAGGAGTCCTCCTTCTTCTCTGAAACCTCATAAGCCCTGTCTTTACTGACCACAGTCCTATCAGCATTCAGGTGTAAACTCCCACCAAAATTGCCCATTAAGCAATTCCTACAAGGTTATAAAGATTTTTCAGCTTGCATTTCTAAACTTTTCAAAATTCTTCCCCTGCACAAACTAGCTCTAAAGGCTTCTGAACCACATGGGTCAGGTTAGTCACAGTAAGGACTCCACTTCTCAATACCAATTTCTGTTTTAGTGAGCTTTTTCATCACTGTGACCAAAAGAACCTGACAAGAACAATTTCAGAAGTCACAATCCATAGACAGTCAATTCCTCTGCTCTGGGCCCAAGGTGAGGCAGAACATCATAAAGGAAGGATGTGGAGGAGGAAAGCATCTCAGGACACGGCAATCAAGAAGCAGAGGGTAAGGGAGTGCTTCACTCACCAAGGACAAAATACAAATCCCAAAGTCACAACCCCAGTGACCTACCTCCTCCAGCAACATCCTACCTGCCCAAAGTTACCACCAAGTTAATCTCTATCAATGAACCAATGGGTTATAGCTCTCATAATCTAATTGTTTCACCTCTGAACATTCTTGCATTATCTCAAACATAAGCTTTGGGGGGGGGATTCCTCATACCTAAATCATAACAATGAGAGACAGAGATAGGAATTTCCTCTGTTTGAATGACCAGATGCTATAGCTCTTGCCATGTAAATTTCTGGCAACGTTGGCATGGCTGTGGGTGCACAGGTGGAAAGAAGCACTATTGGCGAGGAGGTGGGGGGAGGCCATGATATGGCATGACTATACTGAGAAACTCCCTTCCAAGGTACAGGGTCCTAGGAAGGCTTGCCTTCTGTTCAGAATATGCCTAAGGCTTTTCTCTAGGAGCCCATCGTTCATCCCCAAATTGTTGCATGAAATGAACAACACTATGTCTGAGGAGCCCCAAATTCTAGACTTTGGTCTTCCAATGCCACAGGTGCTACTTTTTCCAGTCCACTTTATCCAGTTACCTTTTCTCCACTTCCATCTTTCAGTATTATTTCTTCCTCAAAACACACGTGCTGATGTCCACACTGTTCCTTCTGAGCCCTCTCCCTCATCCTTCCAACACAAAGAGCAATTCTCCTTGGATTCACATGCACACACTCTTCCTCCTGCCTGACTCCCTCAGCTGTCCTCTCACACATCATTTAAGACCCAACTCAAATACCATCACCCTTTGGAAGCTTTTCCTATACATTGGGCAGGTTTGCCATTCCTCTGCTCGGTTACAAATGTATTCGGGAAACTCCTCTGTTCTCCCCATGGTCACATTGCCCACCATGTTTTGGTCCCTGATGAGTCTCTCTGTTACAGCCTCCAAAGCCATGTAACCGGCACATGAAAATATTCAATTACCATTTGTGGGTAACAGTCATTTGCAGTGTTAGCATGAGTGTTGTTCACAATCGATGGTCTCAAAAGTATCTCCAAGCCCAGAATGTATAATTCTGGAAGGCTCAACCAGCAGGTGCCCCAAGGGAGGGAAATTAGCCTTTCCCCATTCATACTTACCCTGGGGGAAATTCTCAAGCCTTGGGCTGTGACACAAGTCCTGAAAATTGGATCATAAATGTCATTTTCCCCAAGAAGTTTGGACCTTTTTATTCTGAATCTAGTGATAGTCTGTAAGCCTCAAAGCCTCATCTCTGGGGACAAGGGAAGATGGTACTTGCTGTGGGTAGTGCCTAAGAACTGAAGCCTAAAGGTTGCTTATAAAGCCAGAGCCTGAGTAGAAGAGAAGAAAAGAGGCCAGACTCATCACAGACAAGCTGTCCATTAGCAGCAGAGTGGGCTAAATAAAAATAAAATAAAATGAGGTGTTTATGTCAGCTATGTAAGATAAGCAGGGTGGCCCCAGGAATCACTAATTATAATTGGGTCCACTGGGTTGGATTAGTGCAAAGAAATATATTCAGCCTCCTGTTACTCTGATGGTTATATACTATTTCACAATTATCAGCAATTGTATGCCAAGTACCTTTAAGAAGGGGAAAAACATCTTTCCCACTAAATATACTAGATTATGTTTATAACCACAAACACCAAGTTAATTGAAAGTTTGACAAAATTAACTAGCATGTCACAAAATTGAGTTTTATCCCATCCAAATCCTTCCTGCAACAATTACATTCTGGGGGGTTTCTTCCCCTGCAGTTTGTCAAATAAAAATGGCTAAATATTAAAACACAATTCTCCTCACGTCATTACCACGGATTTACTCTTCTGTTGCGAGATTTCAAGATAAAAGTGATGACAGTCTATATAAAACATTGTTATAGGAATATATCCTTTGAAAGTTGTAATTTAACAGTTTGCTTCTCCGGAATCCATAAGCTTGGGTGGACTCCTGGCTCTCTGGCGCCCCCTAGGAGTCTTGCTTGGAACAAGCACTCATTTCTCAAACTGCAAAGCAATGGCAGGGTTCTCTGTTAATTAAAAATGAAGGAGAACCAAGGGCAAAGACTTATTTTTATCCTCTCCCAAAAGACATTCCTTCTGAGTGTCCCCTGCCCACTAGCCAGATGATAAATCTGGGCAAAATTGCTACACTACCAGTGACCAGAATGGCTTCATGTACAGGCCAGGGACTTCAAAAATCTTTTTTGATACAAAATCCAGCTCTACTTTCAAAGTCAAGGTCTCTGTGGTTATTTAAGGAACAAATGTAACTAAGGGATTTGTTTTGTTTCCTTTAATTTTCCAATGAAATCAGCCCCTATTCTTGGGTATCACAGCAGATACTATGCAGCTTCAAAGGAATGATAGGAGAAAGGAAATAGCAAGTGACAATTGTGGCACAGTTTATTGTAAACAGGGTTGGGCCACAGCCTGAGCACAGTGGGAGAAGAGCTAATAAAAAAAATGAAGGTATTGTGTGTTGGTGGGACTGCCATAGATACACTTCTTGTCTTTGGTCTCTTTTCCTTTGTAAAGGCCAAGAGATAGAATATTGTTTATCTATTTGCCATGGAAAAGAGGAACTAAATTATGTTCCCATTCTAAAAAGTGGCTATATATTTACAAAAGATAAATGTATGCTTGTATATAGATAGAGACAGAGACAGAAAGGGAAAGGAGGTAAACAGAGGGAGAAGGAAGGGAGGGGAAGGGAGTGAGGGAATAAGTGAGTGAGGGAGAGAGGGAGAGGAACAGAGGGAAATGGGTGGATGAATGCTAACTTCACCGGAAACTGCATGCTGGAGGGGGCAGGAAAAGAGGTCATGGTTTGCTATTCCTGCTGCAAACTGCACACAGGTCTCCTCTAAAACTACTATCCAGCTCCTGATGTAAGTACACAATTTCAACAACACTTAGGAATGTTCCCTGTGGTGGTCTCACTTATTCCCACTGTTCATCCATAAACTCTGTGAAAGAGACACAAAAAGTTTCTCAATCCAATCCTGGACAACTAGCGTCCTCTTTTGGTCATCTACTGAAGGAGCGCGCAGACAACACCAGAGAGTTGCGCGCTGGAGAGAAAGCAGACAGCAGTCACAAAGACCTCAAGGGCGCGACTGCGCCACGAATTTAAAATCTACGGCAAAGTGTTCAGATTGCGCAGATTAGCGAGAATCCCTGTGCCCATTTGAACGCACAGGAAATAATTTTGTACAGGGATACAAAGAAACCTTCAAAAAGATGAGTGTCAAAATTACCAATTTAAGGACTACTTGGTTATTAATTTCGTTTCAGCAAAGCTCTCTTTAGTACCCTTAGTTCTTTGGTCGCAGATATAAACTCTATTTGAAAACGTAATGAAACACAAAGCAAGAAAAACTGTTGGGATTTAAAATCTTTGAATCCCTTGTCTTAAAGTCGAATTCGCTGCCAGCCCACTCTGCTGAGGACTTGCAGCAAAGGAGCAAGTGTGAGTCGCGTCTGCTTTGAGAAGCAAGCTTGTAAACCGGTGAAGGCCTCCTGAGCTTTTGCAAAGCACGTATTTATGGCTCCCCGGGGGTTCGAATGGCCCAGCGGGTGTAGATTAAACCCCGCAGCGCCTTAGCTGCCAGAGACCCCCGATGTGAATCAGGTATTCTCATTCAGAAATGTCCCACAACATGCCCTACACAGGATTTAAATTTTAGAAAGCTTTGCAAAGCAAAGAGTGAAAAGTGAAGAGCGAAGCTTGCCAGTTTCCCTGACATCTGTTCGCCGCGGGGCAACCTCAATACGACGTGGAGGGGGGAAGGGCGTAGGGGGCGCCGAGTTGGCTGGGAACTACTGAAGTGACCGAGGCACTGCAGTAGCCTGAGGTGCCCAGGTGGCTGTGTAGCCAGGGGTACCGTGGTTCCCGTGAGCAACCGGATGGCTTTGGCGCCGGACACGGGTGACGGGAGCAGGTGTCGGTGCGAACCACACGATGCGCGCCCCCGCACTTGGGCCCCGCTGTAAAGGGTGAGGCGCGGGCCCCCGGAGTCGTGCTCGCGCCGGCCCGCCCCCCTCCGACTCCTGGGCGCGCCGTTCCGGGGCGTGTCCTCGGCCACCCCTTCTCCTATATAGCAGCTGGTGCGCCCAGGCTGCCCAGATGCGAGCGCTGCGGCTAGGTGCTGAGGACCTGCATTTGCCTACTCAGATCCCACAGCCTCGCACCACTTTCTGTCGCCCAATCCCCGTGTTTTCCGGCTTATTGAGCAGCAGGCCCTCGCGGTGGGCGCCATGCATCGGGCGCGCCCCGCACTCTGGGCCACTGCGCTGACCGCACTGACCCTGCTCCGCGGACCGCCAGTGGCGCGGGCAGGCGCTGGCGCGGTAGGCGCGGGCCCCGTAGTGCGCTGTGAGCCATGCGATGCGCGTGCGCTGGCCCAGTGCGCGCCTCCGCCCACAGCGCCCGCTTGCGCCGAGCTGGTGCGCGAGCCAGGCTGTGGCTGCTGCATGACGTGCGCGCTGCGCGAGGGCCAGCCGTGCGGTGTCTACACTGAGCGCTGTGGCGCCGGCCTCCGCTGCCAGCCGCCGCCCGGAGAGCCGCGCCCGCTGCAGGCGCTGCTGGACGGCCGCGGGTTCTGCGCTAATGCCAGCGCCGCTGGTCGTCTGCGCGCCTACCTGCTGCCGGCACCATCCTCTCCAGGTGAGCTGCCAGCGCCAGGCGCACCGCGCGCAACAGCAGGGACCCGGTGCGAATGGCTGGGGGGAACAGGGTGTGCTGCTATGGGAAACTCCGCACTTCTCATCCAGAAGGTGGTATTTGGGAAACTGGGACTCCGGGAGACGAAGGCGCTCGCTAGATGTACCCTCCGCAGCCAACCTAGAGACTTGCATAGTGCAGAGTTCTGGTAAAAGCGCTTTCAGTGAAACTGGGTAGGTTTCATTGGCGTGGAAAGCGGACACCAAAATTGGTTGTCTGAAAAGCGCCTGGGGCTGGGAATGTAGCTCAGTGGCAGAGCGCTATGCCTATCATGCGTGAGTTCGGTTCGGTTTCCCAGCACGTCAATATAAAGGAAAGAAAGGTCCTAAACTCTGGAGATTCTCCTTTCCCAATGCGGAGAAGCAGGTGTGTATTATGTAGCCCATCTCTGGGACTCGGCTTTCATTCCCCACAAAGTAGAAAGGCGCGGAGGCAGGAACACAGGGGTGGATTTGGATCTGGGGAGCTGGGCAGGAAAGTCTAAGAAGATACCTGTCTAAAAATACTAACATTTGCATAGTCTTTGGCTTGAAAAGCAATGTCATGCCTTCTTGTGTCTGAAAACGACTGAGATGGGATTGTGGTTGGAAAACCTGAAGTTCAAAAAGAAGTAACATCTCAAGATCACCCAGGGGAAGCAGTCTTATAGGTTTGACCCTCATTTGAGACTTTCAGTATCATAACTCTGTACGTCCCATCACACCCTGAGCCAGGGAGGCGGTCAGACAAAAGCAAAGGTGTTGGTGCTGCGGGGAGTACAGACCCAGAGGATTTCAACAATTGAGAAGGGAGTTGAAAACAGAGGACTGTTTCTCTCCTTAATGCCAAGAGGAAGGAATGAGGTACAATTGAAGGGAGCCTCCAAAGGAGGAAAAATGCAAATCTTTGGCAGTTCCCCCTTTTGGCTCAGCCACTACCAGGCAGGCAGCCGCAACTCTGTTTAAGGACATCACATTGTTCCCTTAAAAAAAAATTTTTTTTAAATGGATTTGGCAGCTGTTCTAAATTTTAAGCATGCTTAGCCAGTCTTCCTTAGTTATGTGAGGAAAGTTCCTGCCCTGCACAGCTGAAGGCAGGGAGAATTCTTCTCACCCTAGTCCCCCAACTCCACACCCCCCCCCATCATGCTGGACAGATGGTGCTGGGCAAGCCCCCATCCTGGATTAGCAAAATGTACAGTCCCTTTGTAATTTCTGTAGTTGTAGAGTTACACTCTTGGATGAAGCTATTCCCTTGATGGTCAAGGCTGGCTTTATTCATCCCTAAGGAACCCGATTAGCGGAAAGGCAAGATTCCAGTGGTCACACTGGCTCTAGCCAATTGTTAAAGTCTCTGAATGCTCTTCTCTCATAACAATGTTACGTCATTTGATTGTGGATCTTATTGTTCTAGTACATTTGGGGGTATTCAAAAAGTTATCTTAGAGGTGCTTAGAAACAATGTCCTTTTTAGTTAGGCTTTAATGATCATTATGATTTCACCTTTATAGCTGTATAGTATCTATCTGTTGGTTGATGTGGGGTCTTATAAAGTTATTTTTTTAAAAACTAAGTGACTTCTAAAATTAATTTTGGAAAAAGTAAAGTCATGTAATAGTTGAAAGTCATAATTCTCTTGCTTAAATAGAACTGTTTTCAGGCTCTAGTCTGCAGTCTAAGCATTAAAAGAAGCAGAGGAAGTTTAAGAAATTACTCAGGTTTCTTGGAAAAGAAATGCAAATATGTTTATTTACATATCCTTAGCATCTCCATTGTCCCAGTACTCCCTTGGAAAAGGAAAAAGAAACAACTAAGATTAAAGGACATTGAAACTAAATCGATCATTTATGAAACTTTTCTGTCAAATCCTGAACTAGACCCTGGGAAATTTTACTTCCCAAGGCACTAAACACCTTGGGGACCTCCAGGAGCCTGTTGGGTAGGTGAAACTGAGCCCCAGGGAGGGGAGGGGCTTCCCCCAAAATCTCCCCATTAGCCTGCTAGTGGGAGGACAGAGCAGAGTGTCTGCAGCCCAATTATTTCACCCCTCTGGTAGTTTTCAGGGAACTAGGCTTTTGCTCCTCTGAGCCAAGAGCTAGAGGCTATGGCTGTTTCCCAGTCTCCACAGCTGGGCATATCCCCTGGAGGCAAGAAAAAGTAATGGATTCTGAACCAGTTGGACAATGACCAGCGCCCTGACAAGGGGAAGCATTAAGGTTCTGATTGTGGAAGTAAAGGAATTCCATGACAATCACCTGAAGCTAAAACTGAAACCCCTTGGGGGATCAGAGCTATATACCCACCATACAACCAGCTTGAAAGCATTTTAAGTCCATTCCTGGAAACGGATAGAGTTAAGGATTCTGACTATACATCCAGCACCCATTTAGTCATATACCTGAAGTTTCAGTTAAACTGTTAACATCCCAGCAACCTTGTCAATTATCGAGCTTTCTTCATTAGCATTTTTAATTATAAAAGGGGAGTTTTCCAGAGGTGGCTTTCTCCTTCATACCCACCGACCCCATGAACACTCTTTGGCACTTTGAGTGGGGCTTTGGTGCCATCTGCAACTCTGGTGATGCTGTGCTGACAGGCTGTGCTGACCAGCGCAGAGGACTCACCTAATAATGTGCCCTTGGAGAAGCACAGGGTCAGTGTGGACCTTGAGTTTTAGAGATGGGACAGATGGAAAACAAGGCCCCAATTTGTCTGTGTGATGCTGGGTCCTGCAGCAAGACCCTTTGTTGTAGGTAGAATTATTTTCCCATCAGAGCTGGACAAAAAGTTTATAGCACTGGCAAAGTAGAAGACAGTCAGTGCTGGTCAAACTGGAATGAATTTGAGAATTCCCAGGAGGACTTGTTCACACCCAGTCTTATGCCACCATCCATTTTTTCGGGGGTAGAGAATGTAACTTTTCCCCCAGATCCTGGAGTAGTCGCTGCTCCCAGGAGGAAGAAACTATATTTGAAGCTGCCTGAGAGATTTCTAATCAGCTCTGCAGCAACTTCTGTGGTGTATATTCGCCCCCTGCTGGACACATAGAACACTGCTGCTTTGGAGTCTAAGTCTTTGAGGGCACTTGATAAAGCATTTCCCACTTTCAGTTGCAGCTACATAGAAAAAGCACATGGCCAGCTGACTTTTAAACAGATTGTCTGTTGAGGTAAAGCAACCACAGTATGGCAAGCAGTATTACAGAATAACATTTTGTTAAGGTTTTTTTTTTTAAATTTATTTGGAATGGTTGAATAACTTTGCCATTTAGATGAGACCTGATTGTAATAGCAAGATTTTGAAAAGACTATTGTTCCATGTCAACAGTAATCATATCTTTCTCTCCCCTGTGCTTTTCTAGGAAATGCTAGTGAATCTGAGGAGGACCGCAGCACTGGAAGTGTGGAGAGCCAGGCAGTCCCCAGCACACACAGGGTGACCGACTCCAAGTTCCATCCCCCCCATAACAAAATGGATGTCATCAAGAAGGGACATGCCAAGGATAGCCAGCGCTACAAAGTGGACTATGAGTCACAAAGCACAGACACCCAGAATTTCTCCTCTGAGTCCAAGCGGGAGACAGAATATGTGAGAACCTTTCCTCTTAAAGCCAGGAGAGGGGACACCTACCAAGATCCATGAGGGCTGTCTTCACATGACAAGTCCTAATGGTCCTGGACATGTGGGCAGCCTTGCACCCCTCCTAGCACTTATGAAGTGTGTGGTGTGTTCTTTAACCTCTGCACAGAGAGATTCTCATAAAGATGGTTTTATTTTATTCACTGGGTACTGTTTTTGGACCTCTGCCAGGTTCTATGTCATATTCTGGGGATTTAAAAAAAAGGGGGAGCAATGATTAACTTCTTCATGGGACTTTCTTGCTAACCTATTCAAGAGGTACTGAAGGAATGTATATTATAGGACCCTCCTGGGATGGCTGTGAGATTATTATAATACATAATAGGATTTTAAAGCAATAACCATGCCCCTGTATTTCTGGTACTTTCTAATCCACAGGGTCCCTGCCGTAGAGAAATGGAGGACACATTGAATCACCTGAAGTTCCTCAATGTGCTCAGTCCCAGGGGCGTGCACATCCCAAACTGTGACAAGAAGGGATTTTATAAGAAAAAGCAGGTGAGTAAGGGCCTCTGCCTATTTTCTTCGTCTCCTCTTCTCTGTTGGCTCAGAGAAGAAATTGGCCTCAGGTCAACCCCCAGGTTTTTCTGGCCATAGTTCTAACTCTAAGCCATGTGGCACTGGCACTGTGACTTGGAGTCAATCTCAGGAGATGGCACTAAGGGGAACTTTGGCTTGGTGCTCTAAGTGAGGGTTGAGCCCAGATCCAACTCTACGTTTTACTGTCTGTTTTAACTACTCACCCAGAAGATACATGGAGGAGCCCTTTATAAATTGTAAAGGGACACACTAACACATTTGTTAATATTGCATCATGGAGTGACATTCTGAATAACTACGGCAGTGAATTTCTAACATGAAGATATAAGATCCGATATTGACACCTTCCTAGTGGTGACAAGCTATAAAAGGATTAACAAATTTTAGATGTAGTTGAACCAAAATAAGTATATCTCTGTGGCACACCATGGATCTCAGAAGACCTAAGCAAGCAGAACTGGCCATAGCATGGCCATGTTTGTCATAGTGTTTGTCATAGCAGCCACGTCAGAGAACTTGTATTCTTCCATAGCTATTGCACTTGGGCCCTTATTCACACACTCATTTTCTGCCAATCATCCATTCAGCAGATTTATACTGAGAAGGTACCCTGTGTAATGCTGGGCTGGGGCTCAGAGTCAGTCTGTTATCCTCAAGGCAGAAGGAACATACTCATCTCTCCTGTTCTCATGGAGAGGTTATGCTGCACACACGTGCACATAGACATGTACACGGCCACCCACACACAAGTGACTCCTGTTATGCTTTCTCAACCCAGCAGAGCCATGCCGGGAAAGCCACCTTGTGCCCTTGTTATTGACTTGCCCAGGTTGTTCATGTCTGTCTTCTCTTTCCTTCCCTCAGTGCCGTCCTTCCAAAGGCAGAAAGCGGGGCTTCTGCTGGTGTGTGGACAAATATGGGCAGCCCCTCCCGGGCTATGACACCAAGGGGAAGGACGACGTGCATTGCCTCAGCATGCAGAGCCAGTAGACTCCACTACACCATGTAAGCCCAGGGAATGGGTGGGGCTGTGGGGGCCTTAGCATCCCTGGCCCTGGGGCTCCTCTTCCTGGGAGTGGTGGGATAATGAGAGCTGGGCATAATCACTGGCTCTTGCTCAGGTTCACTGCAACTACACCCAGGAGCTACAGCCAGGCCCAGAGAGAGAAAGGCAAGGGGACAGATCAGGCCAACCCAACCAACAACACAGGGAGAAAGGCCAGAAGCAGGGTGGTCTCAGACACTGTGCTTTATTTTAAATAGTCTACCACATGAAATCTTCGACCCATGCACAGCGTGAAGGCTTTTCGAAGTGAAGCTTTCTCCTTGGAAGTCTAATGATTCTTTATCTTCACATCAGGGAAACTGTTTTCATCCACAAGAACTTGTTAAAGACCCCAGTTTCTAAATTAAAGATGTGGCTAATTTTTTTTTCCTATCAATATACTGTGAATATTCTCAGTCTGTAGTTAATATATCTTTAAGAAAACTTGTTTAATATGAAATTGGAATTTTAAGCCATCATTTTGAAGAATGCTATTGGATATTCTTTTTTCTTTTAATAAGTAAGAGAGTCCTTGTGGAGGGAAATAGGAATAAATGTATTGTTTTATCTCCTCAAGACATTTAGAAAGCAGTAGAAAGTTTTTATGTTTAGTTAGTTTATTTTTTTCCCTTGGAAGTTAGAAAAATAATAATTCTAATGTTAGGGTAACATTTTCCAACTCTGAGCAACTTATAGTGTTCTTTGCTTTCTTGAAAGGTAGCAAGTTGACCCCGGTCCACTGCACAAACCACAACACCATTTATCTGGGGCCTGTGTCTGCAAATCCCCAAGCAAGAGTTGTACCCTTTTAGTTTTCTGGGTGATTATACCAACATATTTCTTTTTCTTTTTGTTTCAGTTAATGTGGAGCTCAAATACGCCTTATTTTGCACAACAGACTGCCAAGGACATGATCAGCAGCTGGCTACAGCCTCCATTTATATTTCTTTTGTGGTGAACTGATTTAAAAAAAAAAATAGAAAACCAAAGTTTAGACAGGTTTTTTTTTTTTTTTTTGAAATGCCTATGGTTCTTTTAAATGGTAAACTTGAGCATCTTTCCACTTTCCAGTAGTCAGCGAAAAACAGTTTGAATTTCTCTGTTGCTGCCTATAAAAGTACTCACACGCTCATGCACAAGGCTGTGGACTTCTCCCCACCTGGAATTTTCACCGTGTGTTTGCTGAGGCGGCCAACCCTCCGACTTCAAGACTGTGGTGGCTGTGTTGCTTAATGTAGAGAACACACTTCATCCCCACCCTCAAGAGTAGGAAAACCCCTAAACCCCAGTCACCTGGACATCCTGGCACATCCTCCTGAGGCTCACAGCCCTCTGTGTTGCCATCTTTGAGTCAAAGGCCTGGTCCCTCCATCATGAAGATCATTGCTTACTCTCTGCCAGTGACCATATCTGCTTGGGATCTATTGCAGAGTATAAAGTGGAATCTTTAAAAAAAAAAAAATGACCAAGAATGCTCTGGGGAACTCTGGGAACCTATAAAGGCAGGTATTTTTGACCCTCCTTTGTCAGGCAGCTTCCTGAAGATGTGGCCCAGTGGAAGGCCCAGGATGGCCATTGCTGTGGCCCCCGTAAGGCAGGAAGGGCAAGGGTGGTGAGCCTCAGCCTCCGTGTTCAACAGCATCATAAACAATGACAGGATTCTTTGGATGACTGCAGAAAATAGTGTTTTCTAGGTGAATTCCTCAAAACCAAATTTATTTTTGAGGAGAGTTTTATTGTTATCTCTTTATCCTTCTTGGTACAATGTAAAAAATAAAAATACTCTGTAGACGGGAAAGATGAACGGCTTGTTGGGGGAGCCTATCAAGGACACTGGGAACACATAGAGACTCACCTGTGTTGGTTGAACTTGGAGTTCTCCTACTTTCTTTATAATTAATACATATATTCAGAAAAAAAATACATTCTTAATAATTGTTAACATTGTATACAACATAGCCCAAATATAATAGGATCTGTACTAGATAATCCTAGATAAAATGTTAGAGATACTAGATGATTTAACCACGGCCATGACCGAGGAAAAGAGCTCGGGTCCAGAGGCCGGGCTGTTCCCCCCAAGGCCAAACCATGGAGGTCTGGCCAAGATGGGCAGAGGGACTCTGCCCTGCCTGCCATGGTCCTGGGGGTGGATGCACACTGCACAGAGCTCTCCTTGAGAACACAAAGGGGTCTCAAGACATTCTGCCTACCTATTAGCTTTTCTTTATTTTTTTAATTAAGTTTTTTGGGAGAAAAAGTATTTTTGAAAAGTTTGTCTTGCAATGTATTTATAAATAGTAAATAAAGTTTTTACCATTTAAAAAAAAAAATACCTTCTTCCCCTTGTTATTGACCGCCTCCAGATTCTGCATCATGATAGAAATGACTCTTGAGAGGGTAGACTATTCTAGAGTCAGTAGAAGACTTCTTAAACATGTTGCTCTGTCTCCATGGCTAACAAAAGACCCCATCAAGAGAGCTCCACTGGCCTTCATTGGCGTCCATTTAGCACTGGGCCACATCTGAAAGAATGTCCAGTTCTGGGAGGTTGTGATAGTGGCTGTCACTGTGTGGGAAGGTCAAAGAGGTCAGCAGATGTGGTCTGTGGATTTCTGGTTCTTGTATTTGGGGATTGTGCCCTGTATTGTCTTAAAAGCAGCCTCCCTAAGCCATGCAGGCCGACGTATGAGAAAGACACTCCCCCAACCAGCCCCATGTCCTTTTCCTGCGGCTCTTTTTCCAATGTCTCCTTGGAGGGACAAAATGGACAGAGGCAGGAAGAAGAGGAGGGTCCCCAAGAGATGCTAGGAGGGGTTCTGAGATCTCAGTCCCCTGTTTGCAGCCTTGGAACAATTGTCTCTTGTCACAGAGCAACTTGAAGAAATGTACTGAGCCCTCAACTTTAGGGCATTGGAGGACAAACTGCACATCAAGGAATCAGCTGTTCAAAGCCATGTCTGATCTGTCAATAAAACATCTAAAATGGTTCCAAAGTCAGAGTTGTATATAGTGAGCAAAAATTTGGTTCTGGGGGTGTTCAGAGGTTTGGGAGTGTGGAGTGTAGCCATGGAGTTGATCATGTGAGAAACCAGAGAAAATGAAGATGCAGACACCCTGGGGTGCTAAGCTTGCAAAGCTGCAAAAATGGAGGGAGCCAGTAAACAGAGTGAGCTCACCTGGGGGTGGGAGAGACTCAGAGACCATGGAGTATACCTTTGTAGCAGGCCAGGCATCTAGGGACCCAGGGCAGGAGTTTGGCAGGGCCTTCAGTGCCACTGCAGAGGTAAGAGCCACATAATTATGCCTTTTCTCCCCGCCTCCAAGTACTCGGTATTGAATAAGGAACTATATTCCCAGTTCTTTTTTCTTTCTTTATTTTATTTTTTTTTTTTTTAGACACAGTCAAACTCACAGTCAATCCTCCTGCCTCATTTTCCCAAGTTTCTGGGATTACAGGTGTGCACCATCCACCCAAAGATGGTTCTTTAGAAGTCCACAGGGCTTTCCTCTCTGGAAGGCACACAAGTTAGTGGCTTCCTTGTTCTCACTCCTTAACCTCTAGCCTCTGCTACTTTCATACTTGTAATGGTCAGTCTATGCATCAGCTTGACTGAAGTGCCCAGATGAAATGTCATTTAAGGGTATGTCTGCAACTGTCTCCAGATGACAGGAGGATTTGAATCTGTGAGTTCAATAAAGCAGGTTATGTGATTGGGCATCATCTAATCCATTGAAGGTCTTAACAGAGCAAAGGGCAGAGGAAGAAAGAATTTGCACCTTTTTCCTGCCTGCTTAGGCCATAGACTCTCTGCCCCTTGACTGGAACTCACATCACCACATTACCAATTCTCAAGTCTTTGGATTCAAGACTTAACTCCACCTCAGTTTTCCCAAGTATACAGCTTATAGATGGCAGATGGTGGGACTCCTCAAAGCTTGAGTGTGTAAGTCAGTTCTTCATAATAAATAACTTTTTAATTTTTTTTTAGTTGTAGTTTAACACACAACCTTTATTTTATTTATTTTTATGTGGTGCTGAGGGTTGAACACAGTGCCTTGCATGTGATAGGCAAGCATTCTACTGCTGAGCCACAACCCCAGCCCCAATAAATAACTTTTGATAAGTGATTAGATAGATCAATGATAGATAGGAGATGACTTATGGATAAATGAATATAGAGAGATGATTGATAGATTGATACAAAATCAATGGATGATTGATGGATATAGATACAGATCATAGATGTTTGATTGATAGATAGGAGATAGATGGAAGGGATTGACAGATGATATATTGTAAGATGATAGAAGGTTGAGAAAAGATAGATGTATAAATAGGCACTTAAAGGATAATTGATAGATGATAGATGACCAAAGGATGATTGATAGATTGTAGAGCTGGAGTTGTAGCTCAGTGGTAGAGTGGTAGGTCCTGCTTTCAATACCCTATACCAGAAAAATATACAGATAGAGATAGATAAATGATAGATAAATATAGATAGACAACAGATACACAAGAAGATACATATGTACATGTTTACATACATAGATGTAAATTATTGGTTCTGTTTCTCTGGAGAACTTTGACTAATCCAACACCTTTGGTCATATCTTCTAAATATTCTCTTGCCACTTGCAGTAAATATGGAGAAATTATGCCCACCTGGTCCTCCTCTTGCCCACTGCTCCTCTGCCTCCCAGCTGGACCCTGGGAAGCCCCTCTGCCCCGCTGCCTTCTCCCCCAGCCACCTTCTGCCCTCTCAGGCTTTAAGGTCCTGTGCCGCCCACCCTGTTCACACAGAAATGGAAAGCTTTTGACACCCTGGAGTCAGGGCAATGCAGAGGCTGTGTCAACAGCCTCTTTAACATTGACACAGCTTCTAAACTGATTGCAGAAATGATCCTAATAGCATCCTCAGAGGAGTGCCCAGGAAAGAGCAAGACATTTAAAAAAAAAAAAAATGAATCCATACCAAGAAATATTTTGCCCTGACTGAAATGTTTTTGAAAAAAAAAAAAGTTGATACCATGGAAGAATGTTTGTGGCAGGCTAAAAATAAAAGCATAATGCTATTAAACTGTGTAAACTAAAAGGAAATACACCCAAATGTTAACCCTGGCGACGTGAATTAGAGATCATGTCCTTATTTTATTCCTACTTCATTATAATCATAACAATTTCTATAATAAACATGATTGTACTTTTTTATTCAGAAAAATAAGTTGCATTTTTTTATGCCCCTGCCTCTTAGTTTGAATCTGAGCAAAGAGCTTTCATTTCCTTCAGCCCCCTGGGCACCTTCTCCACAAGATGGTTAATCTGAGTTGTCAACTTGAACAAATTCAGAGATGCCTAAGGTTAAAAGGCTTCTTGGTAGGTCAGTGAGGGTGTTTCTAGGAAGTATTGGCATCTGGGACAGCAAACTGAGGAGGAGAACCACCAGAAACATGGGCAGCACATTCCAATAGGTTGGAGACCTGCATGGAATAAAAAGGTGGAAGAATGAGCAGCCAAAGCAGATGCCAGCTCCATTCTTCTTGAGAATTCTACTGCAATCATTCACCTGAGAATGTTGGACTCCAGCTCCTTCACTCTTTCAAAGAGAAAGTGGACTCTGACCAGCAGCTCACCAGGAAATTTCCAGACCTTCAGTTCCAGATTGGACCTGCATCATTGTGCATCATTAATCCCTCTTGTTCTGAGGCTCCAGCTTCTTGAACTGAGCAGCTACTCATTCTTCCAGCTCTCCAGCTGGCAGACGGCCATTGTGGGACTACCCAGCTTCTGGTGGTATAAGCCCATCTAATAAATATACACACACATATATGTATACATATATGTATTGAATGGGTGTGTGTGTGTGTGTGTGTGTGTGTGTGAGAGAGAGAGAGAGAGAGAGAGAGAGAATATCCAGAGGCAGGAGCAGGTATAACTGTCAGGGAGACCTGGGTGTGGAGCAGTTCTGGAGGGAGATGGGGCTGAGGCCAGACAGCAAGCTGTGATCTCTGGTGTTTGCTTCTTTGTTAGCTTTAAATAGTGTTTTACCAGCTGATCAGGGACTCCTCAGACACACTTACCTTAGAGCACACCCCATAACTCCTCACCTTCAGAGCTGGGGCTTTGAAAAGTAAATCCTTCATTCCCTCACTTAAAATTGCTTCCTAGCATAACTTCTGCAGGGCATACCCTGGTTACCTTCTGTGGGAATTGGACTGGTTTGGCCTTTCTACCTTCCTAGTCTCACTTCCTCAAAACCAACAGGTGGTGTGTGTGTGTGTGTGTGTGTGTGTGTGTGTGTGTGTGTGTGTG